TTTTTTTAAAAGATTGACCTCAAGTAGTTTCACTTTCTTAAAATAAGAAAATGTGTTTTACTGACCATATCTTTGAAGGCGATTTTCACTTGCTGGTTCCTCAGAGTGTAGATGAATGGGTTCAAGAGAGGGGCGACTGAGGTATTCAGCACAGCTACTCCCTTATTTAACGTGGCTGCATCTTTAGCAGAAGGGTTTATATACATAAAGAGACAGCTTCCATAAGAAAGCGAAACCACAATCATGTGAGAGGAGCAAGTAGAAAAGGCCTTTTTCCTTTGTTGAGCAGAAGGGATTCTCAGTATTGTCCTGATAATGTATGTGTAGGAAAGAATGACCAGCACTAGTGTGATGATGAGTGTCACTGCAGCAAGTAAAAATGCGATCATGTCGATGATATGTGTGTCTGAACAGGACAAACGCAACAAGGAAGTGTAATCACAGCAATAATGATTGATGATATTGGATTCACAGAAAGGTAGCTGAAGAGTCATTATGTGTGGCACAAAGACAACTAAAAATCCAGAGACCCAGGAGCATAGGACAAGTTGCATGCAGAGTCTCCTGCTCATCATGGTTGTGTAATGCAGGGGTCTACAGATGGCAACATAGCGGTCATAGGACATGGCAGCTAACAGGTAAAATTCAGTCGCCCCCAGAAGGATGACAAAAAAATACTGAGTGAAGCAACCGGCAAAGGAAATTGTCTTGTCTCCAGTTCCAATGTTGACTAGCATTTTGGGAGCACACACAGTGGTAAAGGAAATTTCCAAGAAGGAAAAATTCCGGAGGAAAAAGTACATAGGACTCTGGAGGCGATAATCCAGCAGGGTCAGAATGATGATGGTCAGATTTCCCATAATACTTGAGACGTAAGTTAGTAGCAGAAAAAGGAAAAGGAGAGCTTGAAGGTTGGCGTCATCTGTCAATCCAAGTAGGATGAACTCTGTCACGGATGTCTGATTTCTCATCGTCAACCTCAGATGAATTATACTGGGGAAGGATGGGGTTTTTTAATTGGAATAAAACTAAATGCTCTACAAATTTTAAAAAAGAAAGACAAGCTCAAAAACAGTTTGATGCGAAATATTTAACCCCGAATGTGTCTTAATGCTTCATTATGAAAAATCCCACATGTGAATAACAAAATAGTACATTTTAACATTTATAAAAATTTTAAAAACCCACGTTTTATTTCATCTCACATATATTCATACTAAGGAATCCACTTCTCAGTGACATTTCCATTATTTCTTTCGTGGCATTTCTCTACTCGTATTTCTCACCATTTCCCTGCTTGTTTATATTTTCCTGTCTTTCTGTCCCAATTTCCCTAAATTCTTGTACCCTGTGCATAGAAAAACCTAAAGCAGAATTTAATATATTAAACTTGTTTGAGGCT